GGCGATTCCTTTCTCTCCTCCTCAAGTGTCTATTTTATAATAGTATGTCAGGGAAACCAAGAATCAAAAGACAGTCAAGCATCTTAACATTATTTCCCCCTGGACATGGATTTCTTTGGTTGTGAGTTATTTGATGACCTGGTCAATTTCCTCCTTTGTTATAAGTCAGTTCAAGTTTTCTATTTCACTCTGTGTAAGTTTAGGTAGGCCGTGTTTTTCTAACAATGTAACCTTCTCCTATAGATTTTCAAATTAACTGGCGTACAACTCTTCATAAGATTATTATTATCTTTTTATTTCTAGTGATTCTGTTACGGCATCACCCATGTGGTTTCTTATGTGTGTTATTTGAGTCTTCTCCCTCTTTTCTTTGTTTAGGTTTGCTAATGGTTTGCCAATTTTATTAATTCTTTCAAAGAACCAACTTCTTGTCCTGGTGATAATTTCTATAGTTTTTTTGTTTTCTATCTTGTTTATTTCTGCTCTAATCTTTATTATTTCTTTTCTTCTGATGACTGTAGGTTTATTTTGGTTGTCTGTTTCTAGTTGTTGTAGATGTTGTTGTAATGTGTTGATTTTGGTTCTTTCTTCTTTTTGAATGTATGCAATTATTGCAATAATTTCCTCTCAGCACTGCTTTTGACACATCCCAAAGATTTTGTTATGTTGTGTTTTCCTTCTCATTTGTTTCTAGGAACTTTGTGAATTCACGTTTCATTTGTTCTAATAACTAGTAGATTTTAAGCAGGGTGTTATTCAGTTTCCATGTATTTGACTTAATTTCCTTGGTATCCCTATTGTTGAGTTTTAATTTTATAGCATTGGGGGTTCTGAGAAGATGCTTTGTAGTATTTTGATGTTTGTAAATTTACGGAGGCTTGTTTTGTGGCCTAACACCTGGTCTGTTCTGGAGAATGCATCATGTGCACTGGAAAAGAATGTGCATTGTGTTGTTCGGGTGAATGCTCTATAAATATCCATGAGGTCAAGTTGGCTGATTGTTTTATTTAGTTCCTCTGTCTTTGGTGAGTTTGTTTCTGGTTGTTCTACCCTTTTTCGAAAGTGTTGTATCAAAATATCCCACTATTATTGTAGATTTGTCTATTTTTTAATTCAAATTTTATAAGAGTTTGCTTTATGTATTTTGGAACTTTTTTTATTGGGAGTGTACATATTTATTATGACATCTTGTTCAATTGACCCTTTAATCATGAGATAATGTCCTTTATCTATTATGCTGGGTTGTGCCTTAAAGTCTATGTTGTCAGAGATTAGTATTGCCATTCCTGCTCGTTTTTCATTGCAGTTCGCTTGGTATATTTTTTCCATCCTTAAACTTTTTAGTCTGTTTTTGTCTTTGTGTTTAAGGTATGCCTCTTTTAGACAGCATATTTGAAGGAGCTTGTTTTCTTATCCATTCTGCCACTCTCTGTCTCTTAACTGGTACATTTAATCCATTGAAAATCAGTATAATTATCAATAAGTAAGAATTGATTGCTGTCATTATGTTTGTTTTATTGTTGGTTTGTTCTACATACCTTCCGGTATTAAATTCATGTTTTTTGTGCTCTTTCTTGTCAATTTCTTCATGGCTTTAATGTTTCCATGCTCCTTTTGGATTTTCATTTTCTTGGTATGTTGTGAAGTATTCATTTTCTTTGAGGTTAACTGTGTCCTTCACTCAAAACAGTCTATTTCTTCCTGCAATCTAGCTGACCTCCTCACCACCTGGATCTCTCTTTCCCTGTTTTTACCTTCCTTCATATTGTAATTGTTTTGATCATAGACTGACCATCCAGATCCTCTGAATTTCTTCTAATAATTTTGTTTTGTTCTAGACTCTTGCATCTGTAGATTGAGTTCCTGGTGGTGTTTCCACATACGTAAATCTCTGGTTGTTGTCTGTTCTTGTTGGTTTTCATTTCAAAGAACTTCCTTTAGGATGTTTTGAAGTTCTGGATTGGCTTTGCCAAAATCCTTTAGCTTGTGTTCATCCTGGAATGTTTTAATTACACCAATGTATTTGATTGATAGTTTTGCTGGGAAGATGATTCTTGGTTGGCAGTTTTTTTTTCTTTCAGGGTTTTTTATATATATGTCTCCCCATTACCTTCTTGCCTTCATGGTTTTTGCTGAGAGTACAGAGCTTAATCTGATTTGTTTGCCTTTGTTAGTAACAATTCTCTTTTCCCTGGCTACTTTCAGGATTATCTCCTTGCCTTTTATTGTGGAGAGCTTGATTGTGAAATGTCTTGTTGACTTTCTGTTGGGGTCTATCCTTCCTGGCGTTGGTTGAGATTCTTGAATGCTTACCTTTTCATTTTTCAAGATGTTATGGACATTTTATTCCAGCAACTCTTCTATTATCACCTCTGTGGACTTCTGTGATTTATCCTGTTCCAGAATGCCAATAATTCTTAAGTTATTCTTTTTCAAGTTGTACTACATGAATCTTAGACTTTCATCAGATTTTTTTTTAAATCGTTTTTGCTGTTTCTCTTCTATATTGTTGTTGTTGTTAGGTGCCATCGAGTCGGAACCAACTCATAGTGACCCCATGCACAGCAGAATGAAACAATGTCCGATCCTGGGCCAAGCTCACTACCGCCGCCACACTTGACGCCATCAATGATGTCATCTGGCTGATCCATCTCGTTGGGGGTCTTCCTCTTTTTCTCTGACCCTGCACCTTACCCAGCATGACATCCAGTATTGAAAGATCTGTCTTCATGCTCGCTAGTCCTGGCTTCCATTTCTTCAATTCTACTCCTTTACTGTTTCAGGGTATTGTCCATTTCTGATATTTTATTATTGATCGTTTGGAACACTTTTTTCAGGTTTCACATAGTTTCCAATGCTGTATCTATCTTATTTGATTGTTTCTGTAGTGCTTTCCTAACTTTTTTCAACCTATCTGTGGAATGTTTTGGATACATCTCAGTATCATTCTCATAAATTCCTTCTCAGGCAATTCCAAAGGCTGCCGTCCTTCCAAAGGGAAATCTAGGTCTGCCTCCAGCTCATTTGTCTCAGTTACTCTATCTTGTTCCTGTACATGTGCCTATATGGGCTGTTGTTTCTTGGGCGTCTTCAATAATTAGATTTGTTTTCAATAATTAGATGAATGTATGTTGATGTATTATTATGCTTTTTAATTGTGTCCAGGTAGATGTTATCAGGAGATGGGCTTCTCTTTTCAATTGTCTTATTACTCTACTCAGAGTAACTATAGCAGGTATTGACTATCTATCTGGTGTATAGCAGCTGGTATTAGCTCTTGCCTGGATGTTGGGATTTTATAGTGTGTGACTGTAGCTTGGCTCTATGATGGCAATTGTTGTCTCTTTTTGGGTAACATAGGGAAAGAAAGAGCCTACTAAAGGTAAAAGGGGAACTAAAAAACAAAACAGCAACAGCAAGCAAAACAGATTGGATACTGTAGTCTATTATAGCAGAAAAGAAAAGTAAAAAAAAACTATACCAAAATATAAATATGACTTTATTACCCCTTTCTCGGCTTTTTGCCTTCAAGGCTGCTTGAGAAATTTCAAGATGCTACTGTTGCTCCTTATGATGTAACTCAGGATTTAATTTTTGGACTGTTTCTTTTTTATTCTGTCTATATGCCACCCCATAACCCCAGTTTAAGACTTTTTCCTAGTGATTAAACAGATTGGGGCTGGCTGTAGCCATTTTGGGAGACCGTTCAGTTTTAAGCAGTGTCTGTCTTCTTTTTGGTCTTTGCTGAGCATATCCATGTGCATGCATAGTAGAGCACTCTGAGGGTGAGGGGGTGTCTTGTCACTTAGGCTCCCCTTCTAGTCACCAGAGTGGAAATGCGCAGTGTAAGATGAATGAACAGTGAAAAACAGAATGTCCACACCTTTATCTCTGAGGATTGGTCAGACCTTTGCTGTAGGAACTCTTCTGTGATCCTTCACCCACTCTGTCATGCCCAAGATGGGCGCTCTGGGAGTGCCTGGGATCCATAGATTGGAAACCACCTTTCTTCTGCTATAAATTCCACTGGCTGTAAGCCTTCAAACTTTCTAGATAATGCTTTATATGTAGGTTCAGTGTTCTGGGACTATCCCCTGAACCTGCTTCACCCGGTATTGTGTTATTGCTGGCAGAGGTCTGCACCACATTTCTCCTTAATCCACCATTAAGCCATGCCTCTTGCACAAACTTTTTGAAACACAACTCTGTCATGGATTATTTCATAGGCAGAGTCATGGTTATAGCGGATCTACAAATGATTTGCCATACAATCCACTGTCCTTTGTCTATTCGAAAGAATCATTTTACATTTACGTTCAGTGTTGTCATCAGCTATGGACGTAGACAGGCATTTTTATATAATTGGAGAGTGGATACTTTTTGACTCACCCTCATATAAATTATTTCCAAAAAAAAAATTTTTTTTTTTTAAATACCTAGTAATTTCACTTTAGGGTTTGTGCCGATATAAGTAGTTGTGGGTGACAGAGCAGGAAGTCAAGGGTCATTGTGCATGACAGATGGCCTCACTTTTCTCAGAGAAGCAGGGGGTGAGGGGATCAATGAATAAGAAGAAAATATAGATAAATAATGAAGACTTGAACTAGGTACCAAGGAGAAAGGGTGAAGGAGCTACCTGTGGGCCAGAGAAGAGCTCTGGTAGCGTAGTGGTTATGAATTGGGCTGCTAACCTCAAGGTCAGCAGCTCGAAACTACCAGCCGTTCCATGGGAAAAAGATGAAGCTTTTGCTCCCATAAAGATTTACAGCCTTGGAAACCCTGTGCAGAGTTATGAGTCAGAACCAACTCCACGGTGCTTAACATATATATCTATATATATCTATCTATATCTATCTATATCTATATCTATCTATCTATCATCTATCTATCTATCTATCTATATGGAACTCTATTAGTAAAACCATGGCAACTATAACATTAGCCCCCCTTTACACTCTAAACAAACTCCTAAGATTAATATCCAGAATTACTGTGCTTACAGGTGCCTTTCATGCATGTCATAGTTGAAGAACATAACTCAATGACTCGAACAGCAAAAGTTCCTGGTTCTGATTCTGGCACTGTCAAAATGGAAATCTAAAAAGTAGAAACAAAAATCAGACATAGGTGTTAGAGCTCATTTTCAAATATTCCATCATCAGATTGCTATTAACTATCAAATCAATTTTGATTTCTCTTAATGGCTAAAAATAGAAGTTATAAAGCACTAAAAGCCACACACTGTATACATTCTGAAAGGTATCAAAACAAGCAGTCCAAGTAAATTGTTAAAGATTGAATTCTGTCACTCCAATATTTGTGTTAAAATCCTAACTACTGTGTCTGTGATCCCATGTAGACATAGGGTTTTATTTGTTATGGTAATTAAGTCATGCCCAAGTAGGGTGTGTTCTAAATCTATATACTTCTGAACTATAAAAAGAGTAGAATACACATGTGTTGTTAGGTGCCATCGAGTCAGTACCGAATCATAGTGACCCAATGCACAACAGAACGAAACACTGCCTGATCCTGGGCCAACCTCACAATTGTTGCTACGCTTAAGCTCACTGATGCTGCCACTCTGCTAATCCATCTAGCTGGGGGGTCTTCCTCTTTTTCTCTGACCCCACCTTACCAAACATGATATCCTTCTCCAGTGACTGGTCCCTCCTGACAACATGTCTGAAGTATGAGAGACAAAGTTGGGCCATCCGGGCCTCCAAGGAGCACTCTGGCTGCACTTCTTCCAACACAGATCTGTTTGTTCTTTTGGCAGCCCATGCACTTTCAATATTCTCTTCCAACACCATAACTCAAAAGCATCAATCCTTCTACGGTCTTCCTTATTCACTGACCAGCTTTCACATGCATATGAAGTTATTGAAAATACCATGGCTTGCGTCATGTGCACCTTAGTCCTCAAGTTTACATCTTTGCTCTTCAACACTTTAAAAAGGTCTTATGCAGCAGATTTGCCTAATGCAACACATTGTTCGATTTACACATAGAGACCCATATATATAGGAGAGGAGGTGTCTAGAGGGTAGGGGTATCAGCACAACTGAGATACTCATTTGGACTTTCAGCTTTTGTAACTGTGAGGAAATAAGTTTCTTTACTTTCTGTGGTATTTCTGTTATAGCAGCACTAGATAACTAAGACAGAATTATATACTGAATTTTTTCCAAATGAATGGCTTCAAATAAATTTAAGGACTGCATTAATAAAACCAGGAATTCTGAATTAAAAATAAAAATGCGAAATTATTATTAAAGTAGTACTGGTTGGTATTTTCTCCTAGGCACTACTGATATATTTTGTGGCTTAATATTTATGACACTATGTGCCGATTAGGTCCATGTTTCTATGTAGAATTTAACACTTTGATATTATTAATCATTAATCTAACCTTCAATTTGAGGAAACTATATAGGAACTACACTTTCATCTGGCAATGTCATATTGATAACTCACAAAGGAGATGCCAAAAGTAAATTCTAAAAATATAAGTTATTTTGATAACTATCAAATTACTTTTGGGTTCAAGATGTCTCAAAAACGTTGTTCTTCAGATTCCTCTTAAATCCCTTTGCTGCGATTCATGATATTAAATGATGTACTTTGGCATCAAAGTACCAAATGCTGTGAAATAATTATCAAATTATTACAACTAAAAACATAATCATAATAGTAGAGGTATCTTAACTGCACCAACATCTAAGTACTTCTTTTGATTCTTAAAATTATCATTTACATATTGAAATATAATCAATAAACCCTTACTACAGCACCTTCCTTCTACTGGTCTTTAAGAGGGTACTCGTCTCAAAACTCATAGATACTATAAAAGTCTTTAAAAGAGAAAAAATTAATTTCTGAATATCACTTGCATATTTACTCCCTTCTCTATTTCTCATCATTCTCCTAGTACTTTAAAATTTTAAAGAGAAGTCAAAGACAGAGAACTCTATATTTTTTAAAAAAATGGAATCCAGAGGTATATTTTAGACTGATTATTCTGATGGTTATAAGATAGATGGATTAGAAAGAAACAAGATGAGAGGCAGGATAGATGGATTTGAAAGAAACCAGTTAGGAGGCAAAATGTTGAGTCCCTTCACCAAAGCAGTAAGAAAAAGAATGAAAAGGAAGAGCAAATTGAAGAAATATTTAGGAAATAAATTAATAGGACCTAGAAACCGACGCATCATCAGAGATGGGAGGAAGACGTATTTGTAGTTGGAAGCATGATGGCAGTATCATGGAGGTAGTGAACACCGAATGAAGATGTTTAGGAGGCAAGATGGTGAGTTCAGTTATCAAGAAGTTTGTCATGTGAGGCAGACACTCCCGGGAGATATTGGCTCTTACCAATATTTATGTGGAGGTGAAACCATGAAAGTAGATGGGACTCATCTAGTGAGTGTGTATAAAGCAAAAGGAACTATGGGTTGAAATGAGAATCCGAAGGAACTCTAATATTTAAGGATATGGCAGAAAAAAACACACAAAAAAAACAATCCACACAGGAGGAAGGGAGAAAACATCCACAAAATGACGAACAGAACTAGAGTATTTAAGGAGAGGGAATGGAAACATTTTCATAGAAACCATGGAACACAGAATTTCAAGAGGAAGGGAATAATCACCATTGCCAAAAGTAGCAGAATGATCTAAGTAGACAATGGCCAAAAAATGTTCCATGGTCCAGATAACTATGAAGTTACCAATGACCTTTGTTGTTGTTGTTGTTAAGTGCCAATGAGTTGGTTCTGATTCATAGAGACTCTGTGTCGGCTTTCTGAGGTCAGTGGCTTCGAATCACCAACCTTGTGGTCCAGTGAATTATTCTATAGTGACACAAGGTTTGATTGTTGTTGTTAAGTGCCATCGAGTCAGTTCCGACCCACAGTGATCCTGTGGAGCAGGAGGTGAGCTTGAACCGCCAACCTTGCAGTTCAAACCAACTTTGCAGTCCAGCACATTAACCCACAGTGCCACACCAAGACTTACACGGATTGGCTGGTGACCCTCAAATCAAAAAACAAAAGTCAAAATAATGACCTTAGCAAGATGAGCAGAAGCAAGACTGGTGTGATCCAGAAATAACGGAGATGTGAGGAGCTGGAAGCAGCAAGAATACACACTGTTTTGAAATTTTTTGATAAGGGGAGGTGAGAGGTTAGATACTAGCTAGAGATGAAGGTGGAGTGAAGGGAGGGTTTTTTTTTTTTTTTTTTGGTGTGTGTGTGTGTTTTCAATAAAAATTTGTTGTTGTTGTTGATAAGCACCATGGAGTCAATTCTGACTCATATATAATGTTTCCTGTATAATGTTTAATGTTTCCAAGCAGCGGCTGGTGAGTTTGATCCACTGACCTTGTGGCTCAAACTGACCTTCCTGTTCAGTGCTTATTCTACAGCGCCACACCAGGATTTCACATATATGCACGATTATTTTTTTTATTATGATGTATAATAAATATATATATGTATTATTTCACAATGAAAAATATTAGTGTATATATATGAAATTCTGCTGTGGTGCTGTAGCATAAGTACTGGACTACTAACTGCAAGGTCGGTGGTTCAAACCTACTAGCCACTCCTCAGAAAATCTATATAGTTCACTATGAATTGGAACCGCCTTGACGACACTTAACACCAATGGTTCATGTATATAAGTGGCAGGGAAGACTCCAGAAGTGGAGAGAGTCAGAAGATGTAGGAGAGAGAGGAGAAAAAAAGGGGAGTGGTCACAGATACATGTAAATGGGGCTGGCTTTAGATAAGGGGAGTCCTCTCATTAGGGTTTGTGCTGGTATAAGTAGTTGTGGGTGACAGAGCAGGAAGTCAAGGGTCATTGTGTATGACAGATGGCTTCACTTTTCTCATAGAAGCAGGGGGTGAGGGGATCAATGAATAAGAAGAAAATCTAGATAAATAATGAAGACTTGAACTAGGTACCAAGGAGAAAGGGTGAAGGAGCTACCTGTGGGCCAGAGAAGAGCAGACTGGTAGAGGGTGCTGAGGATCTAGCTTAGTGACACTGGAATTCATGACTTTGTGGCAGTGCCAATCTGCCTGGTTATAAAGTTTTCTCAAACTTTATATAAAGTTTCTCAAACTCAGTTGAGGACCCTGACTCTTTCTCACCTCTCTCGGTTCCCTGTGCAAAGTCACTGCCTCATTGTCTACTCAGGCATGCAAGGCCCTGATGGATGAAGTGGAGTATGACATCACCAAGGCTCGGCAGAAGAAGACCAAGGTGGGCTCCTTCCGACTAAATCCTGATAGGACACAGGAGAGGAGAAAGATTCCCTTAGCTCAGTCTGAGGCGTTCTTAACAGACATTTTTGATAAAGTATGTGAGTGGATGAATGACTACAAACTTGAAGAAGACCCTGTAACTAAAGAGAGAACTTTCAAGAGATTTGCTCCAAGGAAAAGAGACAATATATAAACAGAATTTAAACAATTCCGTTTTTATTCTGATGCTTACAGACCTTTGAAATTCACGTGTGAAATGATAATAAAAGAGTATGAAGATGAAATATTCTTACTTATCGGCCAGGAGGCAGACGATCTAGCTGACAAGCTGTGCAGTGAAAATATCAGATCTGTGTGAACCTTCTTCTACTAACCACACTGAACTCTAGGAACGACTGCTACTAGTTACAGAGAGGAGTATACCCACCACCCACAAGGTCAAAGTCTACATATTATGTTTCCATAAGAAATTATATACTTCTTGTTTATACCACATTTGTCTAACGCATGGTTTTAATTGAAAATCTGTTGTTTGGCCTCATGACAAACTTATTCTCATTGTAGGTAAAATTGAAAAGCTGAGGTTGGGAAAAAGATGGCGGATTGGGTGGAAGTGTAG